GGGGGGGGGGGGGGGACACAGAGTGAGCAGTGCAAGCCAGCATGTTTCTGGCTCTAGCAGGTGGCAAGGTGTGTGGTGTTGTTTTCACTGAAGCTGTCCTGCAGAGAGGGAATTTGAACACACGCTTGAGGAAGCTGGATGAGAAGGAAGACTTCAGTGCCATTATCCTGGCTGCTGCGGGCTTGAGGCGGATGGGCTGGGACAGCCGCATTGGCCAGGTGAGCCAGGGGCGGGATGCCTTGAGTCCTGCTGATTTGTGGGCGGTCAGTGCTCTTGCCGGGATGTCAGCCAGGAAAGTGTGGTGGGGATGGGGCGGGGGGAGACAGAAGGGATGCCGAGTGTGATGGGACTGCCCAAGGTTGCAGCAGGACAGAGCAGAGCTACAGCCTTACTTAAGTTACAAGTGTGCTGGGGCCACAAAGAAAGAACTTGGTTGGCTGCAAGGGGTGGTAGTGGGGTGAGGACACAGTATAAACATATAAAAGACAGTGGTAATTCAGGTCTGATTGGAAAGCATTTGGGTCCTGTGTAAGTCAGGAAAATGTGAAACACCCTGTAGTTGCAGTGCTGGAGACTGAGGTTCAGATAGTCTAGGAAACCAAGTTTGGGAGGGTTGCCCCTTCCACAGGCAAAGCTGCCTCTTTTGGAGGTAAATGGCCACATCTGTCCTGTTTTAGGATTTCCCTCTGGGATGGCTGCGTTCTGTAGTCATCAAAGCAGAAAAGAATTGCAGGCAGCCAAGTCAACCCATTAGAAGCAACCCCCAAAGCAGCAGCAGCTGGGGAAAATGGCTCTATTAAGAGCGGCTGCTGTGTCCCGGAGGGAGACTTTGCAGTCTAATTGCTGGTCTTGCTTTGTTCCAGATTCTGAGCCCCGCAGACTGCTTGTATGCCGTTGGGCAGGTATGTAAACTGTCCTCCATTCCGCCTGGGCCCTGGCACACGGGGTCTTGATGTCTGCAGTTGCCCTGGCAGGGCCCTGGCACACGGGGTCTTGATGTCTGTAGTTCTTCCTGCTAGCAGCACATCAAGAGCCTGAGGTGCTTCAGAGGCCCTGGAGCTCATTTCCAGGGCTGGAGGTGTGTGTGTTTGCTTGAGGAACTGCAAGCTATATCCAGACCCACCCCATTTCCACAGGGTCCTTCCCCGTTACAGGGATCTGGGGGATTGTGTCTGCAGACTCCCTTTTATTTTTTAACTCACCCCCTCCTCTGTTGAAACCTCTATCCTTAAGGGGGTTCATGAAGCCACTACTCTGGTAGTGGTGGGGGGCATTTCTGCGCCTCTCCGCCACCCACTGCCCTCTTTTCTGAAGCCCTGGCCAGCCCCCCACTGGTGCCAGAGGCTGAGAAGGGCCCGCCTGCCTTGTTCCGTCAGGGCGCCTTGGCAGTAGAGGTGAGAGCCAAAGACCAGGAGATCCTGGAGCTGGTGTCCATCTTGCACGACACGGAGACTGGGCTGCGCTGCATTGCCGAGAGGGCTTTCATGAAACGCTTGGTGAGCCACCCGTCCTGAAGGCAGCCTGCTCCTATGGCAGGGGTGGGGGCTGCAGAGGAAGGCGAGAGAGACGCTGCTGCTCCACTAACCCATGGGGGCGCTTTCCATTTCAGGAAGGTGGCTGCAGCGTCCCAGTGGCAGTGAGCAGCATGGTGAAGGATTCACAGGTAATGCTGACAACCAGGTGTTTCTCAGCTGGGATGGGGTACAAGAAAGGGGGAGTCCAAACGAAACCCCTTCCCCTGTTGCCTTCTGCTGACACCTGTGCTTCCTCTCGTAGCTGTATTTGACTGGAGCGGTCTACAGCCTGGATGGAGCAGAGAGCCTCCAGGAGACCATGCAAACCTGCCTGGATTTCCCACAGGAGGTACCAGCACCCGCTACTTTTACAGTACCCAGGGGTTTTTTTTTTGGGGGGGGGGTTCATTTCTCACTTTCCAAGCTAAAGAGGAGTGTGGGGTGACACCTCAGGTCTGCAGTTGCATAGCAGGCTGTTCCCCGTGCAATGCAGAAACAACACACGGGCATCCCAAGCTGCAGGAAAGAGGCTCACGCAGGGAGAGGCAGCGGCCTACCACTGGCGGCGGCTGCTGTTGGAGTTGCCCCGCTTGCAAGCTGCCTCGTGCCCCTAGCTCCAGGTGCCCTAGCTGGAGGCATGGCTCATACTGAAGCAGCCCTCTGGTCCTCCTCAGCTCTGCCGCAGTCCCTCTCCATAACCTGCTGCCTCTTTCCGCAGGACACAGACGGGCCCAACGATGATACGCAGCATGTGGGCATCAGCACCAAGACTGCCCCTCACCAGGCTCAGCAGGCAGCCGAGAAGCTGGGCATGGGACTGGCGGAACTGCTGCTCAGCCAAGGAGCCGGGCAGATCCTCACGGTGGCCAGGCAGCTCAACGAGGCCAGAGAACCAGCAGGAA